GATTTGAATGTATGTAAGCGGGACCGCTTATGATTGGTCGTTCATGCACACAACCTGATAGGTTGGTTTAATGTACAGTAGGTGTGGCTACATTCGCCCGGAATGTTTAAATACCGAGCAGCTGAAATGGACAAGCTGTTCGGGCTATGAGGAGTTGTACCGTGTCAGAAGAAGTCGATTGAAGAGCTGAATAAACCTGAGTTTTCTGAAATCACTCTCTGACTACTTTGTTAAGTACGGACTTAACAAAGAACATAAGAGAAAATGCTGGTTCAGGCCAACGGCCCCTCCAATCCAACACTCTGTTACACAGGGACCAAAAATACCAGGGGCCATCAGGAGGTCCAGCAGTGGAACCAGGACACCAGAAGCCCTCCCACTGTCCCCCCCCCCCAAGCACCAAGAATACAGAGCATCCCTTGCCCCAGACATAAGAACATAAGAGAAGCCAATGCTGGTTCAGACCAACGGCCCCTCCAGTCCAACACTCTGTTCTTTTAAGTTTGTTTTCCAGGCTCATTATTTTTCCCCTCGCCCATTCTTCAGACAACTGATATCTTGTTGTGTTGTCATCGCAAGATCAAATGCTGAATTTGCTATCTGCGTGACAATATTCAGGCTCTCCTTCATGGAATCTAATTTGTTCATAATAGGGGCTAGGGATGCAGAAAGTTTTGGGCCAATATTATCTTCCAACTTTTGAACAGTATCAAAGAATTGTTGAGGTGTAACTATGAGGCTTCCCTCTGGCGGCAGAAGAGTTCCATCCACCATTTTGTCTGTAGAGTCTTTGTCTTGCTTGTGGCCTGCAGTCGTTTCCCCAGGGGGAGGGAAGTATGTTCTTACCAACTACAGAGTGGTCTCAGCCCGTTTATTTTTGTTGTAGGGCATTTTTCCCATGTCGGGAACCTAGAACGGCATGGATCGATGACAGGTAGAGGAGAAAGTAAGTGGTCGGGGTTGGGAGCTTCTCATTTAGGCGTCTGCCATTAAGATCAGCATCACCACCACCCTGGCAAGGTTGATTTTGAATATCTGCTTATTCCTTCCATTCCCCCCCCAAATGTTTTAATGCATATGCCTAAAAAAGCTATATTCTTGCTAAAAGACTGCAAGATCCAAGGACGCCAGGGAAACAAATCCGTTAAAGACTCCAGACGTGTTAATCTTTGTGTCAGAAAAAGTGACATGTGAGAAGCAGGCAGCTACTCACCCTTCCAATTTCCAAACATCAATGTACACTAGAGAACCAAAATCTCTAGGACTGGAAGGGCAAGTTTAGCTACTAGGACTGGAAAGTCAGGCTTAGCTATTATAAGAGAATAGGTTCTGATCATGCCTGTAAAAATTACAAATACAAAACATTTTCCGAGCACAAGAATTTGCATAGCAGTGCCAGAATGTTACTCTAGGTTTATCAGCTGTTCTCCGGTAGCAGACTCTAGGAAAATCAGCACACAGAAAATATGTTTTCGTTCACCCACACCATCTGATGCTGCTTCAACTTCACAGTTGAAATAAATCATGTAACAAAGAAAAGCAATAACTGGTTCTCCAGTTCTGTTTTTCACAGTATTTCTACAGAACAGCACCATTTGAACAGAAGGGGAACAAAAACTTAAAAGCGGTTTTTTTGTTTGACCAATGTCTTGCAGAGTATACTGGAAACATCTGAAAAAAAAACTAAATCAAGACTTAGAGCACAAGCCATTAGGATGGTTCCCTGCACAAGTTCTACAAAGATTAATTAAATCTACACAAGAGCAGTGCTGTGCTTTAGACCTCTCCCCTTGGCCTCTCCCCTTTGGCTTATGCAGCCAAACTTCCAGGTGGATTGTGCTCTTGAATCTTTCCTGCTTCATTACCCATTCCTTCTCTCTCCCAAGTACTTGTACATTCCATTCTCTGCATGTGTTCAAGTAGAGAAAATGTTTATTATTAAGATTTTGAAGCTGTAACAGACGAACAATATCAGGAGGGGTTTTTTTAAAAGAAGAAACTGTAATCAGGACCACAAAAAATGCTTAAAGTCAGTTGACATTATCCCATCCACTGTATTTTCATTGAAAACTTTTACTTAAACACTAATATTCATGTTTATATAGAAGTTAAAGGCCCTCAGCACAAAGGATTGCAAAAAAAGAAACTCTAAAACTTTTGGCAAGAGCCATACTTCAGCTGAAACACACAGGTGCCACCAAAAAAAAGCAGCCAAGTTTTTTCTTCCTCCCCTTCCTCTCAGTTTTACACACTTCCCCTCTCCTGTCAGATGCCGCCTACACGGGGGAACAGGTCAGAAAAACCTATTGTGCCATTGTAAAATAGGTAATACTAAACAAGACAGAAGACAAGAGAAGATACACACGTGGCTACTGTTTTTGGCAGTAGCTGTATCTTTTCAGTAAAGCTATTAATTGCAGTTATCCACAACTGAAAAAGGGGAAAACACGAACTCTGTTACGTTTCACGACACAGCTGATTTAACTTATTCTTACACTTTCTTTAGTTTGCCCAAGAGATGAAACTATACAGTTCTGTGGCAGCAATGGGCTCTCTGAGAGTCTAACTTTGAGCTCCTGGAGTCCCAGCAATAATTATTTCACCAACACCGATAGGGATTATGATGTAAGAAGTCATTTATCCACATGAAAGGCAACCATGCACACAGCCAGTAACTGTCAGGTTTTCGAGGCATTTATAGTGATATCCTATGCTGGTGGAGGTCACTATTAGGGATAGGCACAAACCTCACCACGAACCTAAATTCATCATCAACTTAGCTGGTTTGAGAAATCTCATCTCCCACAAACTGCCCTGTTTTTCATGGAGGTTCGTGGCGATGGTTCATGAGCCAGACACGATGGATTAATTCTCAAGGCAATGGGGGAGATGGACTTCTGCAGCAGTGTTCCAAGCTGAGTTAGTGTGAGCTAGCTCACATTTTTTTAGCCTCCAGCTCACACATTTTTGTCTTAGCTCAGGAAGGATGGCTCCAGAGCAAACTAATTTATGCAGTAGCCAAATCGCTCACTCACAATTTTAATGCCAGTAGCTCACAAAGTGGAATTTTTGCTCACAAGACTCCAGAGCTTAGAGGGAGCATTGTTCTGCAGCCATGGAAACACCTATAAAGGCCCTCACTATACTCAGTGGGACTTATTCCCAGGCAAGTATATATAGGATTGCACTGAGAGACTCCTCTGCTGGTGAAACTGTGGCTGCGAAAAAAACAGTAACTAACAGTAACTCCACACACAATTTTCTTTCACATATTGACCCTTGATGTTGGCTGCAAGGAATGATACTGTGGAGAATCTGGTGAAGTGGAAGGCAATTCTACCTTCACATGTTACTCTTGAAATCAAAATGCACGAACGATATTGTACAAAAAATAGTGACACTAAGTATGACAACCATTAGTGTCTAATTTCCATTAGCTTATTCAGCCGGCTTACAACAGTTTATCAAAGTTCATTTGACTTTTTCATCTGTTAAATATTTAGTTCAGAAATTACATCACATTTTCATTCAAGACTATCCAATTAATTTAAATGCAGTTTCAGCTATTAAAAACATATTGCTAAAAATTCATCTGGAGTTTCCCACCCCTAAACACACATGGTTTCAAGGCCATGGTTGTATTTGCACAAAATTTTATTTATCAATATATTTACTTTTCAAGTTGGGGCACAAATTACATGATCTGTCTAGAAGTATTAAGCACACCACTGGCAAAGATGAAAACTGAGACACCTACTATGACCTTATTTACAGCAGGTTTATGTTAACCCTTTTTTTGTCTATATGAAGAGTCCAAAACTTCCCATGAATGATCACAAATAGTGCCAATGTTAAGGATGCGTGAAAAAGTGGTATGGTAATCACAGAAATTACTGCTGACAAAATCCATGCTTTTCTGCTTTGTACATTATACTTGTGCACATGATTGTATGCTGAACTGCTCACGTGAATAGAACCAACCTTGTGTGAACCAGTGCTTAGATAATAAATTAGTACCTTACTTCTAATAGAGGGACTAATGGAGGGAGGGGGAGAGGAGAGGAGAGAGCAAGAAAGAAACCATCATGAGCATTTACAAAACACCAAATATAAAATAAATTGTTCCCTTTTGCCTACCTAGGTAAATCTTAAGAGAATCTCTAATATCTACATAAGAGAAAGCAAAAGAAAACACCGTTTGTTAGAACTGTAAAAATAATTATCTAGACTAATTCTTTTTTAAAAACAAAACCAATTAAACCAGTTGTGTTCTTCCTTTCAGCTCCTACTAACTGTGCCCTGCTCCTCCCTTCAAGGAAGTTCAATCTTCCTCAGCTGTGGAATACCCCAAGGAAGTAAAAAAGCTCCATCTCTTTTCTCAGAAGGAGATGTCATTTCAGAGAATGCTGCAGTGTTAATACTTATGAGGTTTCTTGCTTTTGAGTTTTATGGCACAGGCTAGAAGTAGATTTGTAGACAGTTGTTTTAACATTGGGCCTGATCTGGATGGCCCAATCTCATCAGACCTCAAAAACTAAGCAGGGTTGACCCTGGTTAGTATTTAGACAGGAGACCACCAAGAAAATCCAAGGTCATTGCAACATCTCTTGCCTATAGGGCTGCCATAAGTTAGCAGCAACTTGTCAGCACTTTCCACAACCACATTTTAATGTTGATGATGTTTTAATGTCATTATTGATTCTTACTATCATTTTCTGTATGCTGCCTTGGTATACAATGGCAAAGCTGATATAACTGGTTTAATTGGGAAAAATATGAAAAGTGATTTCACCTTTTCATTTGCTTTTGTTAGGGCCATGAGAAAAATTCAACTGTACAGCAACATGCTAAAGTTACATAACAATGAATGAGGGATCAAGTATCAAAATCTATTCTGTCCTAAATATTCTTTTGTATTCAAGTGGAGGGCATTTTTTATTTTTTTTTTCAAAAAAGAAAAAAACCGCCCACCATTACATTAAAAGTGCTAAGCTTCTTACCTGTTTGAAATACAAGCTCTTTCCCTCCTACGCCAGCAGCCTCCAGATTAATAAATGCTCTAATTGATTGAGTCCAATGGTGTTGTGTAATGAAGCCATGACTAGCCTTCAGAAGCAAAGATAACAGGTATATCAAACATGACAGCTATTATCTCAATGCACAAAATACTTGGCTCTGACAAGATGTTGCCAAATGCAGTAGCACAATACACTGCAAGACAAGCAAGAATCCTGCATGTTTGTGAGTCCCTCCTCTCTAACCAAAACCACGCAACAGACCTAAACTTGTTCTTCTATTATTATTCTCTGTAACAGAGGTGGTATCCAATAAACCAAACAGTTAGTTGTTCATGCTGAAGTCACATTTGGGCTTTTTTTCCCGTGCAACCCACTTTCAGAAATGATTAATGAGATGCTACAGGGCCTGCTGTTCAAAGAAACAACAGTCAAAAATCGCATCAGCATTTCCAAGCCCTGAGGACCCAAGAAACATTTGATATCCTGGTCTATGTTTTATAAGTATCTATTGCATTCTCACCTGCAATACATTTTCTTCTGCACCATTGAACAGGAATATGATAGCATGCTGCAAAGGTTCAGGAGATTTTGAAAGCGTGTGCAGGATCTCTAGCATCACAGAACAGCTGACAGCATCATCACTGGCACCTTATAATAAATAATATATATAGTACAATACATTAAGAAGAAGAGAGTGGATTTATACCCTGGTTTTATACCTTCACTACCCGAAGGGGTCTCAGAGCGGCTTACAATCCCCTTCCCTTCCCCTCCCCACAACAGGCACCCTGTCAGGTAGGTGGGGCTGAGAGAGATCTCTCCGGAATTGTCCTTGAGAGAACAGCTCTGAAAGAACCTATGACTGACCCAAGGTCACACCAGCAGCTGCTCATGGAGGATTGGGGAATCAAACTCGGTTCTCCCAGATTAGAGTCCACGCTCCAAACCACTACACCAAAATGCAATTATCCTAATACAGCAGCTTTTAAATTCAATCAGCCATATGAGTAAAAGCTTATATTAAAAACATTCTTTTAGCCTATATAATTACATGAAAGATCCCAATATAATTATGGAAACATTCATTACAAAGGAGGAATCCCCCCCCCCCAGCCAAACCTGAATATATGAAACTACTTGGGAAAAAATCACTCCCTATGCTTCTTTGTGTTGGTTAGCATATCAAAATGCATCACTGCTCTCATAAATAATCCTATCAAACATTAACATACTGGAAGCATAATATTATTATGAGTAACAATACATTTCAGAAATACTTGTAGGCAGGATTTTGAGGCAGCTGCTGAAAATTAATCTTCAGGAACATCATACTAGAGAAACAGCCTGAAGAATTCATTAGAAACTTTTGTGTGTGCTGTTAAAATAGTTCTAGAATATGTAAAAAAATAAAAGGAGAGACTTTCAGTCCTGAAAATAATTCAATTTATTCAAAAGATATTTTATTAATGCTTCACTAAGATCTGTCAGGAAGAAAACATGAATTTATTTTATGCACTAAAAATGCACTAATGTGGAAATTCAACAGAAACAAGACATTTGAATACTATAATGTAATGTTTTACTTTCAAGAACAATTGAATTGTTGTCCAGTAATGCATTGCTTCAAAGAGTGTTTCACTGAAATTTTATGGGATTAACTTTCATGTAATGATCAGCTTTGGAAGAAGTAAAACTAGTTCCACATGCCTGAGGGGCTTTTGACCTCTGTTTCTTAAACAGAGGACTCCATGCCAAATGGTAAGCTATTTTTGAAACTGATGAGTGTTTCCCAGTCAGTGACCCCACGATGGGGGGGGGGGGGGGTCTGTTGTTCAAAAGGAAAAAGCCAAAAATCTCTCAGTGTGTACAAAAGCCCCTTAAACTCTTCAAGCATATTTCTTTGGAACCAGACAGTATGTTTAGGACCACGGTGTAAGAGAAAAGGCAAAATGAAATACCTGTGTATTTAAAGAAAAAGAAGAAGAGATTGGATTTATATCCCGCCCTTCACTTGGAGTTTTGTTATCTTATGGTTTTAATTTTTAATAACAAAATAAGTAAATAATATTCATTATTTGAAGAATTTAAAGCCATATAGTTGTTCAAAAGCTGTGTATACTAGACAGTCTATACATAATTTAATTCAACAACTTTCTGTCTTTACTTAAGAAATTACTTCATACCAACATTACAAAGGTTGACAAATGGTAAATTAATACATTTAAAGTATTTAATTTTATTGAGAAATATTTTTATATAGAATTTAATTTCTGTTGTTATTGTTTTTCCTTCTTAACAAAGTTTATTGATAACAAAATAGTTACTTTTATTTCCTGCATTTTCCCTTCCAAGCTTTTACACTCAAGAGCATACGGGTCACTTTTGTATAGTAATGAAGTAATTTACTAATAACATCGCAAAATTATTATTTGACTAGGAATAAGGGCTGTTTGGAAATAAATACAAGCTCTAGAAAGAGGCTCTGGGTGGGTGCCCTGGCCTTGGGCACTCAGTGTCAATTTGCTGTGGTGACCTCAGCAGGGTATAATTAAACAGAGTCCACCATTATCTCCAGGTGAATTATCTCTGCCATCTGAAGAGCAGCTGTAATCCCTCACCTGGAAATTGGCAGCAGTGGTTCCCCAGGAGGAAATGGCTGGTTTGGAGGGTGGAGTCTATGGCATTGTACCTGTTTGACGTCCCACCCCTCCTCAAACCGCACCCTCTCCAGGCTGCACCCTGGAGCTGGCAACTCTATCTCCTTCCCAGCCAACCATCAACCTACTGCTATCTCCCCCTCTGACTTCAGCTTTCCATCTCCTCCCCCCTCACTCCTGGAGAGCAGTAGTAATTCTGAGTGATCTCCAGCCCTCACCTGGAGATTGGCAACAATGGTTCTCCAGGAGGAAATGGCTAGTTTGGAGGGCGGAGTCTATGGCACTGTACCTGTATGAGGTCCTGCCTTTTCCCTTCCAAGCCTTTACACTCAAGAGCATCAAACCCTCTTCATACAGGCCACTTTTGTATAGTAATGAAGTAATTTACTAGTAACCTAGCAAAATTATTATTTGATTTTAACTGACAAAATCACAACACAAATTGTTGCATATGAATATAGGTAATACCTGTTCATTCTCATAAATGGAGATGAATGGTTATCCACCATTATAAATATCTATGGCACTTTACATGGTATTTTTCCATGCGGGCTTCTTTCCGTGTAGGCTTTTTTCTGTGTGGGCTTATTTCCATTTGACCATTTTTCCATGTGGCTTTTTTCCTGTGAGCATTTATGACCATGGGTTTTTTTCTGTGGGCTTTTTTCATAGAACCACTTAATCATAGCTTGAAAATGAACAGCAAGCTCTTTTCTGTGCCCAAGAACAGGTTTGGATTATGTATTCGAATACAGAATTTATGTAATTTATTTCTACCCTCCTCAGTTTATATTCTCTCAAAACAACGTGCTCTGGGGTTGCTGATGGCTAGAAAAACTGAGCCGATACTAGACCAGGAAGTGCATAAACTCTATTTGTTGTAATGCTTACACTAGTTCTTCATTTCTTCTTGCACTCCTTTCTTGCACATAGCACAATGAAGGAATTCTGTTTGGGAATTAATTCAGTTTACCCATGATATACGAACACAGACATGTGTTAATGAGAGTATTCACAGAAACTTAATAAGTATTTCAGTTGCACTGATGACATAAACTTAAAACTTTACCGCAATCCAGAAAGTATATGATTTGGAGTCTAAGTGACTCACCTCCTAAAGCAGAGGTCTCCAACATGGCACCAACACCTTTCCTAGAACCTACCAAGTAGTTTTAGAAAGTGAGCAGAACCAGGTGCAGAGCTTCTGATTGCTCATTGGAAAACTGACTAGCTCTGACAGCAGCTGCCATCATAGTACATCAATCCTCACTGCATGACTGAAGGTAACTAAAGAGTTATACATGACCTCACTCACTGACATTTTGTGGCTGGCTCCACCTCTTGTGGTAGTCAATGTCCTGTGGCTCCATTCCCTGTGGCAGCCATTTCATAGTTCCACCCACCACCCTGTATCAGAATTTCAAAGCTGCCCACAGGCTCAAAAAAACACACATTTTTTACTAAGTTGTGGGGGGTTTTCTCCAATGTACAAAAGTTTTATGTTACATACTTACCTGGGGTATTTGGTACAGAGTCGAAGTGACAGTTGGACAAAACTGCATGCTCAGCTCCACTTCTAGGTTCCAGTTTAACCACCACATTTGTAATATTATCATAGTAACTGGTGAAGCCTCCAAGAAAATCAATACTGAAGGTGCCTGTAGGCCTTTGTATATCTATAGAGATCTTGTGAACGTTATTGCTTTCAGTTTCAATTGCTTTAATTTGTTGTAAGAGGTAGTTGACGGTAAGGATTTCATTTTCTGGACTTCCAACAACCCTGGGGCCAATGGCAGTAATATTTTCTAGATATGCCCTATAGGGAAAAATATGAAATATTGGGAGTATAATTATTTTAAAACACACATGCATGCAAATGGTGCTGTGATATCTAGTTCTTACAAACAACTTTTGCTTCCCAGCTAAACCAAGAAGAGAGTTAAAACAATGAGTACAATGACATAATCTTAACAAAATTCCTTATGGTATTAGGGTCATAGGGTAAAGGTCTAATACTTAACATTCCACTAAACTGCCAGCAGCTAGAAAGAAAATGACTGTAATAGACTACAGTGTAGAAGAATGACTTTTATATATATATTTTAAAATGTACAAGGATGATATCTAAAAAATTCAGGAAACATTAAATGAGGGAAGATTAAAATACTTTTTCTTTTACTTATGCACATTTCACCTATATCATTTCACATTACATGGGAAATCTACCACCATTCCTTTAATAAACTAATCTTTATTTGTTATGGCACCAAGCCAGCAAATCAGTAACATCATACAAAAACGACTTAAACAATTTGTTAAAATACAAATATAAAAACCACGGTCTAAAAGATTTGAGGGATTTAAATAACCTTTAAATAACCTTTTCTTTGCAGATACAGTAACACTCTGTGTCACACAGTGGCCAGAAATACCAGTGCCATCAGGAGGTCCACCAGTGGGGCCAGGACATTAGAAGCCCTCCCACTGTTGACCCCCCCAATCACCAAGAAGACAGAGCATCACTTGCCCCAGAGCCCCTATCTATACCTTGTGGCTAATAGCCACTGATGGACCTCTGCTCCATATGCTTATCTAATTCCCTTTTGAAGCCGTCCATCAGGCCAGGCATTTCCTTTACCAAAGGTAAAATATACTTGGCTTGAACCAACTTGTGCCATGGCCACCTGAGAAGCATACGTTCAACAGTTTCGACTTCTCCCAAATCACATTGACAAAGTCTCTGGTCAAAAGGTATCTTCCTGTATCTCCCGTCAAGGACAGCTGAGGGAAGGGCCAAGCAGCTAGCTAAGGTGAAAGCTTTTCTCATCAAGTGATCATCTAAGTAGGAAAGGTAATCAGGAGGGAGAAGTCAGTACCCTAAAGACTAACGAGATTTTATTTTAGCTTAATGGTCACCTTTGTGGGCAAGAGCTCATTTCTTCAAGTGCGATAAAGTGGGTCAGCACTCATGCTGGTACAGCCATAGGAAATGGCTGAGTACAAGCGGAAACAGCTGGACAGACAAGTAAAACAATTAAAATATTTGTAGGTTAACATAAAAGTGGAAGTTGGACCAGAGGGGACTGTGAACAGTGAGAACGATTGTCCTTCTTAGATAAATTATGCAATATGGGAAGGAAATGCCAACAAACTCTTTTTAACTCTAGAGTTTTTAAAAATCCAATTTCTAGGGCTTGGAGCACCACACTGAAGCCAGCCAAGGGCTGAGGCAATCGAATCTAGTGCCAGCCTTTGTTCTGCAGAATTCTGAAAGGAGCATAAAAATTCATACACCAAGGAGAAAGGAAAACATCTTAGACTATGATGACCTTGTAAAGATGTAGATTAAGAAAATCCACAACATTCACATGAAGGGAAACTCTTTCTCTACAATGGATCTGGCCTACACAGGCAACAAAATGAGGTGGAAGAATTCTGGAAAAACCTTACAGAAAGTAAAGAAATTATCACATCAGGGAGAAAAGGTCTACTCTACTTCCTGCTGTGTTAACCTTCTATTTGCAGTGAGTGCTTTTTAGTACTTGGGTGCATTCAAAGATAATATTCTACTGCATGCGGAATATACTAGCTGTATAACTGTATGGAGAGTTACTCCAGCCTAAACCCAATAGGATAGTTAAATCTGCAGAGGACTGCAACAGTCTTTTCCACGACTTAAAGAATCTACCACCTCATTCTGCTCCAAGTGTAGATCAGGTCAAGGACAGGATGACCAAGATGTCATAAACAGCAGGCCTTCACTCCAACTCATTAGCAAGCAGAAGAGAAAATCTCACACTGGTGCAGCTTTTCTGTCCATTACTGCCACACACCCAAAGGTCTGTTAAGACCAACACAACACCTTGCGCAAACTTTTGATTTCTCCAGAACTGATGAGAAGATATTACACGGATTTCATTTGGGGGACTTGGTCACACACCCAGTTTCTCTTCCACACAATTACACACTCAGCCGTCTTTGGCCTGCAGTCCTAGATAGGTGCTGGGATCTCTCTGTAAGCTATCACCACCATCATGCACCACCCTCCTTTCCAGACACTCAGCAGGGGCCGCAAGGCGCCAGCCAGGGGAACAAAGAGCGGATTCCGCCGCCGCCCTCAAGCAGCGAGAAGAAGGAAGAAGGAGCACGAGCGCAGGTCCAGGAGCCGAGTACCTGGCGCGAAAGGCATCGAACTCCGTCGGGTCTCGCGGCCGCTGCAGAAGCCGCAGAAAGGAGATGTGCACGAGCACGCGCAGCCCCACCAAGTAGAGCAGCAGCACAAGCGAGGCGCGTGCCTCGGGCAGCAGCCTCGGTAACCCGCCTGCACCGGGCTTCTTCCCGTGCCATCCCTCGTCGTCCTTTTCCGGATGTCGCCGCTGCCGCTGGTAGTAGTGATCCTGCTGCGGAGCTTGGGTGCGGAGGCGCCTAACGGCTCCGACCACAGCCGAGTTCCGCTCCATAGAGCCCCGAACGGTCCCACCTGAGTCGCACCCAAGGTCTCCAAGGCAGACTTGCTGCAGCAGCAGGGCAACGCCGACGGTGGCGACGGAGGGCCAGAAGTGCTCGACTGGGACCGGCCCACCTTCACTTCGCGCTCTGGTTAAAAGGAAGCAACCTCCCAAGGTCACATGGAGAGAAAGCGTGTCACTTGCCCCTCCTTCCCGCCAGTTACCAGGATTACGGTGATTCTGCACGAAGAGGAGGAGACACGGAATTCCTCTTTTCTCAGACTCTCTGCCTCCGATGTAAATAATCTTTAGGGAGGAAGTGCCCACAAGAATTTTATGCTAGGGTTCAGCCTGGAAACACCAAAGAGAAATTCTGAAATAGGTGATACCACGATATAGAAATAGGGTTGCCGGCATCCAGGTGGTGTCTGGAGATGTCACAGAATTACAGCTGATCTCCAGATGACAGAGATCCGCTCTCCTGGAGGATGACTGCATTGGCGGGAATACCTTGCTGAGGTCCCGTCCCAAGCCATGCGCCCCTGCCCCCTGGCTCTATCCCCTCCCCAAAGCACCAGGAAGTTCCCAACTAGGAGATAGCAACCCTAAAAAAAAAAAGCACTTCTGAGCACATGCAGAGTGCTTTTCTTCCCTCATGATTCAATAACTCTCCATTTCCTGTTTACTACACACAGGATATTCAGTCAGGTCAGATAACAATACCTTTTGGCAAGCTTTTTTGGTTTTTACAATGAACTATGCAGTCACGAAGAGTCTTGGTCGCAAAGAGTCGGACTCGACTGTGCGACTGAACAAAACATGCAGTCAATGGGTTTAAACAGGAGCAGTTCTGCATAGTATTGCCATGTTATTTATTTATATCCCATACCCTGTACTTGAGGCCAGTTATAGCAATAATATTACAAACGGCTACCAGCAGCTATAGTCTGTCATGGCAAAATAAAACAAAAGAGAACAAATGTAAAGAAAACAGTTGTGAGAGTCTGACCCACAGATCAAGCAGTCAACAAGACTTGCAGAGAAAATGCTTTCTGAGAGAGCCAGTTTGGTGTAGTGGTTAAGTGCGCGGACTCCCATCTGGGAGAACTGGGTTTGATTCCCCACTCCTCCACTTGCACCTGGCTGGATTACCTTGGCCAAGCCCTAGTTCTGACAAAGCTGATCTTGAAAAAGAGCAGTTTCTGTCAAGAGCTCTCTCAGCCCCACCCACCTCACAGGGTGTTTGTTGTGGGGAGGGGAAGGTGTTGTGTCTTGTCATTGACATGCAATGTAAAGTTTGAAACCTCAGCCGGATTGTAATCTGGAACAACACCATTGGCCGAAGCAGGTTTTGTAATCAATGAAATGTAAGAGTCTGTGCTGGAGGGAAGACAAATGATTGGTCGTTATCTATGTAATTTAATTGGCTGTGAGGGCGTGGCTACATCAGCCCGGGAGAGTTTTAAAAGGAGCTGTGCTCCAATGCTAACTCTGTGTGTGAAGTCGTGGAGTCTATTGCTGTGTGATCTTTGGAAGTTCTCGTTCTCAATAAAGCTGATTCACTTTGTTACTTCATTGTTGAGTTGCATACTTAACAGAAGGGAAAGGAGTTTGTAAGCCGCTCTGAGACTCCCTTGGGTAGTGAAGGGCGGGGTATAAATCCAATATCCTCCTCCTCCTCTTCTTCTTCTGTATATTAGGGTCAACAAGCACTACAGCACAATAAACAAATTCCTTCAAATCATAAGAAAATCCTAGTGTAAAAATACATCATCAACGTCATCTCCAGATTATATAACAACGTTTCAGAATTGGATCTTCCTCAGGAAATATTAGAGTAGTACAAAAGCTCTCTAGCTTATAAAGTGCTTTACAAAAATGTCATGAAAGATAATACATTCAGATAGGACGCTGATCTCAAAAAGTGTTCAGGCTCAAATATGCTGCTAAACTTCTAATGGATCTTTTCCTCTGAAAATACTCAGAATGAACTACTCAGCACTCTCATCAGCTGATCGATCCTCTTCCCAACTCATTCAGGTCCTGACTTCCAAATTCTTCTTGTTTACTTGCATTTATTTCCATCTGTTACCCATATGTTGATAGGTGTTGAATGACGCCACTTCCATCTCCTCCCTCTCCAAGAGCTGTGGCCTGTGATGCTTCAAAACCACTGCTCTCCCTTTCTTTGCCATAGAAAGTCTTGGGTATTGAGTGTATCACAGACCTGCATTCTGCCCACAACAAATTTAGCACACATGCACAGAAAGCTATCAAGTGGTTCAAAAAGGTACATGTTTGATTCCAGAAGGGGGCGCAAACCAACATGGCCGCCTGAGCCTTTTGGTCCTCCCGGCCCTCCTCCTTATCCACCCTTATCTGCGATCCAACGCAGCGATCTGAATCCCAATTTATGGATAACGATGTGGGATTGACCCAACAATTGAATCCTTTCAAACACAGAAAGGTAACAATCAACAATCACCTCACTACCGGCGACAGAAAATTCCGGCCCACGCTTATTTCTCACCACCAAAATGGCGTCAGATACAGCTGACAAGGCTTCATCTCCTGTAACTCATGCTGAGCTAACAAAAGCCTTCACAGCTATGTTTGAAAACATCTCGGCTCTTTTTAAACCTCTATACGATCAACTGGGAGTGATGCAGAAATCTCTCACTGAAACAAAGCAAGTTGCAGAGAATGCCACCAACAATAGCATTGCAAATCAAAATAATATACAAGACCTTCAGCAACTAGAAGATGTCCTAGCGGAAAAACCTCTAAAAGTTGATATGGCTCTTCGGCAGAATAATCTCAAAATTAGGGGCCTGATGGAAAAATTTGAGACTAAAGACGATCTTACCACACTCATCTATGACTGGCTGCAACATGAAGTTCCTCCAAATGGAGACATGCTACCAATGGTCACCAAGGCCTACAGAGCAGGCCCCCTGAGCCTCCTAAAGACAAGGCCCTCATGAGATGTAATTATATCGTTCCTCAATCTTCAATACAGAAAATTGGTCCTTACAACAGCCAAGCAAAGAGAACACCTCACTTTCAAAGGAGGAAAATTGAAATATTTCCGGACCTGCCAAAAGAAGCCCTTATGAAGCACCGAGAGATGAAGCCGATCCTTTCCCGCCTTCAAGAGGCTGACATGCGATACTCCTGGGCTACTTCACTTGTCTTGCAGTTCTCCTTTAAAGGGAAATCTCATCGCATCACCTCGGTTCAAGATAGTCTCGCTCTGCTTCACTCACTAAATCTGGTCACCCCAATGCTATTCAGCGCAATCTTTCAAGAGAAAAAACAGATCTCCATCTCTGATCGACGTGACGGAACTCTGTGTCGCAGCTCCCTAAAGAGCCCGAAGGGCAGCTTGTTGAGTACTCTGATTGATCTGTATTTGCATAGTGCTCGGATTACTAAGCTTCTTATCTTTCTGTCTTAAAATTGTTGAAAGAGAGATACAGGGCTCTCCCTTTTTTCTAGTTTAGTAACGTAGTTAGGATTATAGTTAAAAATGTTTGCGGGACTCTACTGCTCAAATGAGCGATCTACGCCGCAGCTGTTCAACTGGGCTGTGTTATAATATACTTTGAAATGCTGATGGTTGATCGTGCTTGAGCTTTAACACGTATTTTCAACAAATTTATTGCTTTACATGGAGGGGAGGGTTGGAGCGGTTCTTTTGCTTTGTTGGTCCGCATAGTTTCTTTCGGCTCTCAGAACGACGTGCTGGGAGAAGGGGAAATTAATAGCCCTTCCCAGCCTCCTGCAGAAAACAGTTCTGCGGGAGCTCTCAGAGTCGAACTCGTTTGGATTACTATTCACTAGTGCTACTTCTCTTTGGTATCATATATTAACTGTATTATTCTTGTTTTTTTATTATAAGTGCTTATACTAGCAAAGAAAAGATAAAGTCCCCCCCTTTTTTCTTTTCTTTTTCCCTCTTTTTCTTTTTTCTCTTTCTACTTATCCTTATTCAACTGTCCATTGGTTGGGGGGGTACAATTTCAAACACACACACAATTTTTTTTTAATAAGTACACACGTATAATTAATTTTCGGTGCTCTTACCCCATTTTCCTTTTCATTACATTACATTTGTGATTTATATACAGCCCTATCCATGGGCTCAGAGTGGTTTACAGACACAATTTTTATCTAAGCTAGTAGTACAATGGTAAGGGGAGGGTATTTTTCCTAACTAGGCACCTAACAGCAGGATCTTTCTTGGATTCGGCGGTGGATTCGATGGTGGTTCTTTCCCTCAAGGGTGCAGATGTTCAGTGTTGAAGTACGGATTCTCTGCAGTAGCGGCTCTTTTTCCAGCAGATGGCTCCCACAGAACATGAATGAGGCAGCTCGACTCTTTGTCCAACCAGCTCCAGTCTTCGTTGCACGTCATGCTCTCCAGGCACTAGTCTCCGTACTCGGGCTTGCCGCTCGCTGCCACCTTCGCCTTATCGGCATCGATTCAACACCATTGCCGCTGCTTTTAACACCGATCACGGAGGAAAGGTGCCCCCCGCTCGTAAGGAGCAGGTACCCATTTACCTACTTGCCCATACAGGCTTTCGGACCGCTGGGTGGGCGGGAGCTGGGACAAAGGGCCGGGAGCTCACCCCGGCCGCAGTGGGACTCGAACTGCCATTGGCAGTTTGGCTAGATTAACCTGCAGGCTTTTTAACGCCATGCGCCACCGCTCTCTATCAGCACACTATCAGTGAGAAGCGGCAAATAATATTTGGGGGGAAATTTTAGTTGCTCTTTTTGCACAATTAATTCTTAGTGCACTCACAAAATTGAAATTGGTGCTCTTAAATATTTCACATCTCTGTCAACTATTAGCTAAAGCAACTAACATAGATTTTTATGCTGCCATAGAACCTAAGCCAAGACCTTAATTAATTTGGATATCTCTTATTGCTACATAGTCTCCATAGTTCTCTGAATTAATTGCTAAAATTCATGACACTGATTCCCCTATTTAATAAAACTTTAAGGAGTTGCCATTGATATTTGATGAACTATTTGACATAATTACAGGTGGGACAACCTACTTGCAATTTAGTGACGGCTTGAAGTACTTCCATATTACACCTCACCAT